GGCCCGGCCCGGCCCGCAAAAATTTGCGGGCCGGGCCGGGCCGGGCCGGGCTGCGGGACCCAACGCAGGCCTCTAGTTCTGAGCACAGCCACAATGAAAAATAATCTTTGATTTGTAATATAACGATAAGAAATTCAATTAATGTCATATTAATTACCGAAATAATTATTTGAGTGATACCAAGAGAAAACCGGACTTTGGGCTTTCAAGTTTATTATTATTATTTAACAGATTCAGCCCAGACAGCGAGACGTATGACACGTAATTAAATTTACTTAGATATCATATATGTCTCTGATCAGGGTTAATCTAGTAATAACAAATTATAAACTTGAAAGCTCGAAGTCTGGTTTTTTTTCTTGACGTCCATCACACATTTATTAAGAGTAATTTAAACAGCCATGTATACTCTTGATTCTAGTTTTCATACAAAAATAGGAATATTAGCTACACATAGTAAATTTAATTTATACATAATTTAGAGGCTGAATAAAACACTATATAGAAACAGATACGTATACTGTAAAATGTAGCAAAAATTAAAGAAAAAAAAAGCTACATTTGAAGAGATATGGCACTTTGAGAAAAAAACACTTATATACCTAAAATATATGTTGTATTTTAAATGAGAAACACTGTAAAACGTGTAACTTGCGTTTAAGATGACTATAATTCAATAAGTTATATCATATGTAACTTTTGAATCAGAACATATTTATCTTAAATATTCTCATTTTTACGATAACTCAAAGAGCAAAGTTTAAAGATCTACTGGCAAATGACTAAAAGTGACACCATAAAGCTGTTATGGTAATTCATGTACGATCATTTCAGAAAAGTAATACCCAGTTCGATAGAAATTAGGCGTCGCTTTCCTGAAATAAACATAGAGTTATTTATTTGAAACATGAATCCTAATACGTATGTAAATACCATCATTAAATATTTAAGACTCTTTTTCCTAGTCATATAAACAAACAAAATAAACAAAAAAATGTCTTTCTCTTCATTAGTTACAGTCATTCCCTCAACTATATTGAAACATTATATTGAAGGTCCGCCTATAAAATCTTGGGATTTAAAATTTCATTTAGCTGTGTCATTGTTTAAAAGTGGCGGTCGTTTATGGAAGATGCCAATTGAGCAAACTCAAAAAGAACTTTCCAAATCCACTAAGATCAAGACTCCTTCTAATATAGTTATAAAAGATGTTATATTAGATGAGAGATACAGACGAAAGAGTGTAATACATTTAGAAAAAATTTTAAACCATTATGAAGATTTGTTAGGCAAGGAATGGAAAGATCCAAGTGATGAACTGCATGGGGAATGGGTATATGTTAAAGATGATAAAAAAAATAATGAAACTGATAAAGTGGTTCTTTACATGCATGGTGGGGGACATTTAGGATCTATCGAATTTAGTAGAATTTTTACTTTTAAATTTGCAGAGTATGCTAAAACTCGTGTTTTTGGTAAGTTAATACGTACGTGAACACCTATCAAATATAGATATAGATTCACTTACTTAATATTATTAAATTAGCAATTGATTATCGTCTTTCCCCACAAAACCAATTTCCTGCTTCTCTTTGTGATTCGGTTGCTGCATATCTGTATCTTATAAATCCTGGGTCAGATGCAGGATTTGGTCCAATAAATCCTAAAAGAATTGTGTTTGCAGGAGAAAGTGTGGGAGGCGGTTTAACTTTCGCAACTCTATTATTTTTAAGGGATGCTGGATTACCTTTACCAGGAGGCGCAATTGGGTTGGTGAGCAACAAACAAATAAATTAATGAATTTCTTTTACGCATCATCACATTTATTTAATAATCATATGAGTGCTGCCAAGGGAAAACCTGACATCGTGCTTCCAATTATATTTTGTGTCCAGTTTGCCGTCTAGGGAAAATCTATCATCGGGCTTCAATTATATTTTGTGACAACTCATCATAAAAATATAATTGAAAGCCCGATGTCAGGTTTTCCCTTGGCAGCACTCATATTTTATACAATCATATTTACATGAAATTAACCATATATTATTTAAGTCACCATGGGTATGTATATATTTGAGACTCGATTTAAATTGACAAAAACTAATGTATTCAACGTTTCTTATAAAAAAAAAAAAAAAGGTAGATTTGACTCAAAGCATGCCATCATTTTGGGATACCAAAATAGATAAGGTCGACTATTTTCCTAAAACATTAGGTCTTCACAAAACTGTACCTTCATCACCTACTACAGAAGAATACATTGCTAATGCTGGAGCTATAACTGATAAAATTGCACCCAAAAAAACCAAAATAGTTAGTCATCCATCTTTCACCGAAGTACCTCGTCTTCAATTTTATTGTGCTAATGAAGCATTAGCAATCCCTTACATTAGGCAAGTGCATCACACTAACACTAACCTAACCTTAAAAAAAATTTTATTAGAATAATATTTTTACCTCACTTTTTAATTTCTAGTCCTATGCTTGCAGAATCTCTTGGTGATTTACCACCTATCTTATGTGTAAGTTACTCTTTGCGAAAAATTATCTTTGTAATAAATAGCCTTATTAGTTATCATATATAACTAACATATAAATTAATTACAGCAAGTTGGAGGGCTTGAAAAACTTCATGATGAAGCAATCTTATTTAGCCATAAAGCTGCAAATCCTCATGAATATCAATTACCTTTATATGCAACTAAAAATTTTGATAAATCACCCTTTAAAAATCCTACTAAAGTTATACTTGAAGTTTATGATGATATGCCTCATGCTTGGCATGTAAGTAAAATTAGCACATTTAAAATAATATTACCATTTTCAACAAATTTTTTTCGATTAAGAATTTTTAATCATAATTTTTATACATTATTATATCAACCAGATTTTTTCATTTTCTAAACCTTCACAAATAGCACTTGAACGTTGTGGTGATTTTATAAAACGTGTCATTACTTTTATAGAAAGTGACAATTCCTCTATGATTGACCTTCTTCAAGAAGAGGTAGTTCCTTACTCCCAATCACCTTCACTTGTTGCATTAAGAATTAACAAAAATGGCGAGGTCAGAGATTTAGATGAAACAGATCGGGATTGTTTGAAATGGGATAAAATCGGTGTAGTACCCAAAGTTTTATAAATTTTCAATATAGCAATATAATATAGATTAAAAAAAAAAGAACTAATAACTCTTGCTATTTTATTAATGTATTTTTATAAAAATAATTTATTAAAATTTTCAACACTACTATTATTATTAAAATTTTCAACGCTATTATTATTATTACATTTTAAAATAAAATGAAGCATGTTTTTTTATTTAATTATACATTCTTCGATACAAATAGAAGACAATACACCTCACTTTTTTTAAAAAAATCAAGTAAAAAATCTATTAAAACACGAATGTAATTTTTAAGTTCAAACATTAATATTGTCTCTATTACATCACAAAATTTGAATTGTTTCGTGCAAAATGCAGGCAATTCAATAGTCATTTGTACAAGAATAAAACTGCACGATTTCTAAGAGTAACTACAATTTTGTTTTTTTTTTTGATTTTGTTTTAGAAAAGTTTTCATTTTCGTAAAGCTCCTTAGCTATATAATCGCAATGTCTATTAAATGAAGATTCAATCCTAAACTTCATTTTCAGAGAGAATACATGGATATATTATAAATAGTGTTCTTATTCCTCTTAATTTAATAATCGACTATGATACTTTTGAAGAATCGGATAAATCCCCAAAAAAAGAGTCAAATTGATAACACTGATTTTTTTTTTTTTTTAGATTAAGTAGTATGTTATATTCAATAAATTATTCAGAACTAGTCGTAAAAAAATTCCCTGGCTCAAATTTTGTATATAAACTACCTCTATTTCTTCGACTTTGATCCTGATAATAACCTTTCAGATCGTCATCAATATTACAAAAATAGAATTGTACATCTTTTAGACGTCGATGTGTTTGTAACTTTTCAAGATGCTGTCTCCTCGCATTCTCTCCTGGATAAATACCCAACAATTCGAGATTTCGAAACTTTAAGAGGGATCTGAAGAGTGCCTGAAAATAAAAAAAATCAAATAAATGAAATAATGAGTAGAATATTAAAAATGAATATAAAATAAATAAATATATATTTATTTACGTTAGGATTAGTTTCCTGGTGATATGTGTGTAGTTCTAATATTCTAAGTTTTGGGCATCGTTTCGCCAGTCTATCAAATAATGTACTATCGAATCGATTCATGTCATAAGACTCTACTACTTCCGATATACATGTATTCCGATCGTTAAATTTCAAGACTTCAAGTGTACCACGGTTACGATTTGCCAAAGTGAAGAGAAAAGCTGATGTCATTTGCCAGTTGTATCTTCTCGAACAGAATTCTGCATTAAATGTAACAAGACTTTTGCAACCCCTAGCGATTTTCACCAATGATTCTTTCGTTAAGCTCTCACAATGTATCAAATGAAGTTCTTGCAATCTTGGACAATTATCAGCAATGGCGATCAAGCCAGCATCGGTTAAATCTTTGACATGATAGAATTGAAGACGTTTCAAACCAACATTTCGGTTGTAAGCTAGTGATTGAAATGCTAAATCTGTGAAACCACTACACCACCAAAGAGTGACGGATTCCAATTTATTACAGTATAATGTAATTGGAAGGAAGCATTCATCAGTAAGACCTTCACCGAGAGAAAGAACTATTTCACGGAGTTGTGTTTGCATTTGAGCCCATGATAACATGAATCGTGGGAAATTATTTCGACCAAAAATTCTTAGACTAAAATATTCCAACTGAGGAAATATTTGTGAAATTGAAAATGCCATTTCATCGTTTAATTCTATCGCAAAAGTAAACTCGAAATATTTAAGTTTTCTACATCCAGGTAGTAGAATTTTCAAACCATCATAATTAACATTACGACAAATCAAGGTTTCAAGATTTGGAAATGAATTCACGATTATCTGGGCTAATTTAGAATTTCGGATCTCCCAACGAGTTTTCAGCATTACAATCTTAGGACAATGTTCACCAATACGCTGAAGGATCCACGAACAACGCTCCGTGTCACCATTCCCAGGAATTTCGAGGTGAGTTAATTTTGGACATGAACCCTCAGCTATAGATTGTAAAGTCGCGTCCAAAGCAGGCTGCCATGAATCTTCAGTAGAAAATGAAACCAATTCTGGAAGAAGCTTAAGAAACATCGCTACGTTTGTTGGTTCAAAAACACCGTGGAGACAATAAAATTCGATAAATTTAACATTTTGACAATGATTGGCGATATACTTGAGCTCGCTAGTTTGATATTTTTCTCTTCCACATCGAAGATGTGGCCGAAATGAAAGTCGATTTACCATTTTTGCATAATTAAAAGTAGTATGAGGGGATCTTAAGGTACGTAGCCATTTTTTATAAGATTCGTGAGTTTTCCAAATCGGTTTTTTCCACAAGAGACGTACTATTGTCTATTAACGAAAAAATAAGATCAACACGTGGACGATGACGTGATCAAACCTAACATTGTGGAACAAAGAAATTTCCGATCCAGCTAACATTATGTTTAAAAAAAAAAAGTTTTTTTGCAAATATCAAAAATTGATGACTTTTTTTATAGTTGGATAAAGTAATACAATTCAAAAAAAAAAAAAAATAATAAAAGAATAATATAAAATATCAAACAATATAATTTTCATCTTTTCGTAATGATAGGAATAATAATTTCCAAAATCAAACCAAATAAAAAATAAAAAAATAACGTCGCTAAAAAAAAAATAAAAATAAAAACAATACAAAACTTACCATAGCCCATAATGAATTCACTAACATACAATAAAATAGATCATCTTGATGTGTAAACTCTGAAAATACGATGTGAAGTAACTCGCCAGTTAGCAAAACCGACTGTGCTGCCATAGCTTTTATCCTTCTATTATACATTTTCGTGGGTAAAAAATGATCAGCGAAAGAACCTCCCTTCCACTTTTTTAGTCACCTAAAGCGCTCTTTATAGCCTCAATAGGCAATGTGTAACCATAAATCGTTTCACAATATAGTGGTGATACATATAAAAGATGATCACTTTGATAGTTACGACCAATTATTACTACATAATTCCGGGCCTGATTGGGTAATAATTTCTATCTGGAAATCTGTAACAGTAACATATGATACGGGTAACCGGTTTGAACTTCATATGAAAAATTTCGATTTAAAAAAATGATTTAATTTAAAAGTCATCTGTATTAACGTCAGAGTACTGCCATCTCCCGATATAGTCACTGCTGCAGTCACATTATTTCTGCATACGTATTTGCAATCCTTTTTTAATTCCCGCAATAACCATATATGCCTATATACGTAGTGTATTACAATAGTATTTCTGCTTTTTAATTGATCTAATGTAACATGTGATTGCTTTTTTACCGTGACCAGAGTCATCGGATTTTAGCATGTCCTCGATTAATCACGTGACTACAAACCAACCACTGGTATTATATACTAATTAATGTGATAATAATACCGTTAGATTTTAGGGGAATTTACAAATGAGGGCCCAAAAACGAATATAATTACAAATAAGGGCCCAAAATGAAAATAATTACAGATAGAGGCCTGATATTTGAAAATTATTACAAATAAGGGCCTAAATATATCGTCATAACAGTATCATGGTTAATTGTGATTAAATAGGTGTTTTAGAGTTATCGTTCATTACAGTCAGACCTCTCTATAGTCACTTCCTCTATAATCTCATTTGCTTATAACCACAAACTTTTAAAACCAACTCATATAATGCATATAAATTTAACCTTAAAATTCTTGAAACCAAGAGTGTGATTATAGAGAGTTTGACTGTAAAAAAAAAACAAACCCAAAAAAATTTCCGCCCGACTACCCAGATTTTTGACTTCTCCAAGCTACCATGTATGTTGTTTCAGTCCCCACTTTTAGAACGAACACGATTTTCAATATCACATGATCGAAGTATTACTATATCTCGTGCTTTGAATATATCCATAAAGGTTGACAAGTTGGGTCATGAGAAATTGGCCTTACCCTATGAATGTAGTCAGCTTTTTATGCTTGTTAGCTGAAATAGTAAAAGTGCATAAACTGGTTTCATTTGTAAAACCAACAGTTAACAGCTTACTTAGAATTCAACAGAATAACAATTTACTTGGTTTGTTCGTTTTTAACTTAGAATTCAACAGAATAACTGTCCAAGTCCGAATGGACATTTTCCAAGTTTCTAAAAGTCTTACCGGCCGTAACTTTGTATCTAGCGTTTATGAAAGGTTTTAAGAAATATATATAAGAATTTTAATGAAATAAATTTACAGCGTGAATGTACATTTTTTATTGTGCATTGGAATTTATATTCGAATTACCAATTGATTATTATTACATTTCTTATGCATTAACAATCAAT